TAAGTCATGAATGTATTGAATATGTAAAAGATGCTAAAATTCGGAAGGAGTAGAAAGTAAAAAGAAGTGCAAATACTGTTTTTAGTGTTTGATACCAATCGTGGCCTTATATTACTTTGCTCGAATGCTCCTTTCAATATTTCACTACGCTGTGGTCTGGTGCTACCACTATGACAGAAATTTCTTCTTCTTCACAAGCTAAATGGAATCCAGCACTCCCTTCTACTCCTAGTGAAGGAAGGCAAGTTGTTTTAGCCCCACGCTATGTGTACGATCCAAGCATCATAGTATATGAAACCAGGGGAAAAAAGTGAACTAAAAAAGGCAATTGCGTAGCTATGCTAGAAATGAGTAGGGGTGAACTTCTTATGAGAGAGAAAAAAGGTTATACATGAAGGGCCATCTTTCTCATTCAACACTTTGCATTCATTTATGTTTGTACACTTTCGTTTTTAAGTCTTGCTTGATTGTTTTTTATAGAGATCTGATTCTCAAAGTAAATGATTTATAAGAGCTTAAGTATTAGTGTGTAGCGATTGTTGTGTGGGAGAAGTTGGACTTCTTGGTGTAAATAGAAGTGTAGGTTTATGCTACCTAGTAGGTAGTTGGGTGTCGGTGGGAGTAACAAATGAGATGGGATTGCTTAAACAATCCCCAAGAGTACTCGAGAAGTGGCAAGTCCACTATAAGTTTGTTTGCTTATTATTTTGTTATGGTTGGTTCACTTTTTATTTTTCAATTCTTTTATTTGCAATCTGCTATTAGGAATAATTTTACTTTCGTAATGATGGATGGTTTGTTTGTGTGATGACTGAATTAATCTTTTGAAAAAACCTTGCAAATATGTTATTCGTTGGTGACACAGAAATTGTATTATTCATTGTTTGTCACTTTATTTGCTAGATAGAAGGAATAAACTGTTCTTTCTATCAATTAAAAAATAATTTAAAAAAACCCTTTGCTTGTTTTAGATTTTGTTCTTTAATAAGGAATTCTAATTTATCATTTTCACCCCTTCCCCTCTTTGTGTGTACTTTAACATTCACTCTTGGCTGACCCATGTGTATGTATGTCTATGTCTATGATTCATTTTATGTTATAATGATCTCCAAGGCATCTGAAGTGATCTAATGGACATTTGAAATGTTCTTAATGCCATGTTATTTTAGGAGACATTGATTAATTCGTTTTGTATTTTATAAATATCATCGTAGTTAATGTTTAATCATATTTCTACCACTTTATTTATATTCTTTAACACCCTTTCTTCATGCTTTCCTTTATTGATGCCTTTTAGGATCATCATAGATTTTATTTATATTGTGTAATAATACTGTATTTATAAGTTTCCTTTCTACAAGTAAGTTAGTGTCATTTCACTTTTTTAATCAAGAAAGGATTCCCCTTCAGATTGCTTTTTTTTTTTCTACCGCCAGAGTCTCATTGATGGTCCTTAATTGAATCAAGAAGTGAGAAACAAATAATTACAGTTTTTATATATTATTTTTCTCTTCATGAGTGGGGAATTCGACTGCTAAGTAAGTTATATTTATTTAGTTAGATGTAGAGGATCATAGAGGCGCTCACTTTTTTCCTTAGATTGGATTGAAAGATTGGATTCTTCAATTTCCTCTTTTCTTGGTAAGTTTATGTTTCAGTTCCTTGGAGTTATGTATTATGTATGGATATGCCCTTCTTTTATTCGGCTTCTTCAGTGTTACTAACTTCTCTTTATTAATATTTGCTGATCAGTTGGGAAAACTTAGCTATAAAATGAATAAAGTATTTGTTTATACTTTTGATCTGGTTTTTAATCCTTTATTGATTAGTACAATTCCCAGCCACCTTTGTTTTTGGTCGTGTTTATACAGGATTGCAGTGTATGATTAATAGATCACCATAAGAAAAACAAATGACTGTTGCCTCTTTTGCAGACCACACATCTCTCTACTTTCTTTGCTTATCCGATCGTTTTGTGCCAGTTAAGTATGTTGCCAATACAAGTAATTCCTGACTCAGCAATGTCTCTCATTCTCTCGAATGTTCATGATTTTTTTTTTTTTTTTACTTTTTTTTTAATAACAAGTTATTTAGAAAAAATAATAAAAAAAAAACTTGATAACATGATAATTGCGTGATTAGCATTTTTTTTTGACTAAATAAAAATTTGCTTAATAAAGTGCTGATTTTAGGGGTTACTAGAGCGCTTTTCCTTAAAACTCAGAGGTATCCATTAGGTCTTTTATATAATTCTCGTATGTGATGGATTCGTATTTCTGCAATGATTTTTCTTCCAGTCCATTCTTACAATGCATTTGGTGCAACCAATTAAAGACGGGTATATGCAGACTTCAACTGGTTGAGATAACACGTGGGTTTCATGGCGGTAAGAGAGGAGGAGATGACATTGATCCTATTTATTGTTTTCCGGCTTTATAGGCTTCGTTGGACGCGTTTATGTTGTGCTTCTTAAAGCGCTTTTTAGTATAAAAAATAATAATTTTTGAAACTAAAAAGCCGTTTGAGAAGTCAATAAAAAAAACATCCAAACGAAATCATAAATGCTTCAATATATTGTAGTGTTTTAGAAATATTTTTTTAGAATAAAGATTCAAGATGCTAAGATTAAATTTACATTTAAAAAAGCTTAATTCGTTATAATGAATAAAAGTTACTAAGTGATATTAAGATGTTGTGATGACAGCGTTTGGTTATAAAAAAAAATTATATAGTAAATTGTTGCTGATTTTAGATTTATATGTACAAGAATAATATTCAAAAATAATAAAAAAATTGTTATTAAAATAGGTGTAAATGATAAAAAAATTTAGAAAATTGATCCAAGATTATGACGAGTTTATAAGGATCTATCAATAGTAATATTGAGTTTGACATGTAAATTTATAAAATTTTAGGTGGCTTTTTTTTTTAAAAAATGAAATTTATATATTATATTAGTAACGAAATGCGGCATGAAATGTCATGGAATTTGCCAAGCAAATAAAGATGGACAGTAGAGGATATAGTTCACAGTGAAGAGCTAGGAAATTGAATATGAAAAAGTTGGCTTTTTAGTAGTGGATATCTCGACAAAGAATCAAATTGACGAGTTTTTGATACAGTTTTCATGAGATCTGTGAGATACAACTGCTTTAGGTGAGTTAGCACCCTAAATAAAAATAGAGATTTTTATTTTATCTTCATATTAGTAAAACTAAGTGGGAGCATTTTAAAGAAAAATGAGTAAGTAAAAAGCTTATGTAGACCTGACTGATTATTCTAATAGAATGAGTGGAAAATGTCTAGGTAATGAAGATTTTTTGCCTTACGAAACTTTCAATATTATTTTGAAGACTAAAGATGTGAGATGAGTGTGAGGAAAGATTTATTGATTTTTATGTGTGTAATTATAGAATGCATTAGTAATGTGTTATACTTAACTGTGAGGGATATTATTGAGCATAGGTTATAACGTATACAGTGGACAACTAATTGGTCACATATTACTCTCAGACTTACTATTCTATTAACTTAAAATCTGCATGCTAACATCATGTTGATCTTAAAAGCATTAGTGTTGCACTATCGATATTCGAAGATAGAAATAAATTATTTTCATAAGTCAAACTCAATAGAGAGGAATTTAAATATTCATCCTCGAAAGGTATTTAATAGAGAGTGACATCATCTTAGCATAGTGACAATTGAATATTAACAATTATATAAGACTTTATTTACTCGTCTAAAGAATGGGCTTAATTTGGCTAATTAATCATTTTGTTGTATGTTGAACTATCATAATGTATGATCGCTGATTTACTGTATGATTTATTCAGCTGCGATATTGAATTTAAGTAAGATTTAAATTTTAATTTTGAACTAATCTTACTGTAGGAGCTTTGGTTTTCCTGTGTGATGAGTTCCATGATTATTTTGGTCCTGTTGTACTCTTGAAGATTGATATTGTATTTTTCTTTCTTTTTTTTGAAGCTTTTTTACTTGTTCCTCTTGAAAAGAAGAATATGAATTTTCTTTGAACTTGATATGGTGAATCTTGAATGAAATAAAATGAAATAAAAGTTTATTTATTTTAAAAATTGCTTGTACTTATAATGCAAAATTAAGGTCTTCCAACTATTTTTTTCGTTTGTTTGACCTTATTCTTGTAATTTAGACTTTTTTGTGTGGCTTTTAAGAACTTGAAATCATGCCCTACTTCGAAATTATAGCTTTGTTATGAAGTTGGAAGTTGTGCTTATGTTCTAAAGACATCCTTGATGATGGCATCAACATGTGTCATGAAGTCGGCCTTTGATGTGATGTTGGTCATGAGCAGTCTAGTCTGGTTTTTAGTTTAGTATTAGTTGAATACTTTAAGAGAGTTCCAGATTGAGGGCAAATATAATTGATGAATTTTTTTGGCTAGAAGTCATAGTTGGTTGATGAGTACTTTTGGGGAGTTCAATAGCTTAGTATTGAGGGCTGAGTAATGATTGTTTTTTGGGAGAGTTCCACGTTGCAGGCGATTCAAGCTAGTTCACATTCAGCGACTTGTTGAACACATTTCAAGTTCTCATGATGACTTGCTTAAGTTGAGCCAGGCAAACATGGAAATACATTGATGATGAATAAGCCTGGTAGCATATGAGATAGGACTTTGGATGTGAAAAAGTATCTCGAGAATAGATTCAAATTTCTAAAATAGTTAGTTCAGGTGACAAGTAATTAACAGTATTTGCCAGCACTATACGAATTCCTTAAATGAATACATCTTTGAAAATGGTTACCGTTGGAGAGTTAGCTTATTTAAGCTGTTAAGGACTAATATGTACCAAATAGTTATCAGGAATTATCATCTTCAGCTGATAGTAGATGACGGATGGTCTATTATCATGGTTGCTCATCCCAACAAATTTTTTGCGCATTCCTGGTCTCTTATAACCTTTGTTTACCTTTATTTGAAGTTTGGATTTTAGTATAACAATACTTTTTCATTGTAGGTAAATGCTTTTAGATCTATGTTGCATGATGACATGATGGTAGGAGCTTTTTCTCATTCAACTGCTGTTGGGAAGTTACGTCAAGATCTTCCTGATGTGCCACTAGATTCTCGTGTTTTGTTGCCTCGTTATAATTTGGATGAGGCTGCTGCAGTGTCTCACTATTATCTTAGGTATGCTTCGAAGTGCAATTAATTACTGTTTAACTGGAATAATATTATTGTGGCTGTTTTATTGATGCATGGTAAATTACTTTCAGTTTCTTAATTTTTGATTACATGTAGGATGTTTTTTTCGACACAAATTGAAAATAATTTTGTTGTTTTAAGGTTCTACAATGTGGCACGATTTTTAATGTGACCACTAACTCTTCTCAGTTAAATTAACTCGTGAAATGCACTTACGTCGACCTGTTTAATATAAAATTATCCTAAAGCACTGCTATGAGTTTGTTTAATTCAGAATTTCCAGCCTAAAGATGCCCTTCATTTCATATAAAGAACGTTTGCTGTTGTGAGACATGTAAAAACCAATGAACATTAGCAATGAATCTGTGAGTCATAAATAGGTCAAAACAGATTTCTAATACATATACACTATGAGAGAATGGTGTGGCTCAAACCAGCTTGAGTGATTAGTATCTAATCAAGTTCTAGTGAACTAGTTTCAAGTCAAGATTTAAAATTTTGATTTTAACCTAAATCAAGTTTGGTTTGAGTTGGAAAATATTGATTTTGAGTTGACTTTGGAGCTAATTTGAGCTGAATCTTCTTAGTTATGTATTTATACATGTTAAAATTCCAACCGTCTCTTGGCCCTTGATCCCAATGAAAGTATTGGGATCCGTGGGAGGCTCACCTAGATCACGCTGTTAAATCTTAGCCATCCCTTGGCCTTTGATCCCACAACCAGCATGGGGATCTGTGAGAGGCTCACCTGAATCATGCCGATCTTCTTCTATATTTGAGTGGCTGATTTGTGAAGGATTATATTAATATGCAAGATTTCATAGTTATTTGTTTATTTATTAAAATATTTTGTACAGATCTATAAATAGGAATAATTTTGTATAATAAAATTAAGCTCTTCCCTCTACAATTTTTTGAATTTAACATTACGTAATCAAATACATATAAAATTTATGAACTCATGGATAGGCTCATTTGTGTGTATATATATACCTACAAACATACATGCATAAAGATAAGAAGGTATGCCTAATTATATGTACATGCATGTGTTTACACTTGTAACACTTGTACGCTAGTGGATTCGTAGGTCAGTCTGGTTTGGCACCTCCTCACCTAATGTTATTTGCTTTAATATTTAGGAGTGCATGTATACAAATTTTCTCAGTATCTCATTTTTACATTGCAAGATTGCTATTTTGACCGTACAAAGGTTTTGTTTCTATGAGTTTCTGTGTTTTAAATATTCCTGAAACTTCTGTATTTTAACTATTCAAGAGCCAAAATTTCGGAATGTAAATAGTAACTGATGATTACTTTTATTTGAAATAAACCCTAAATTGTCCTCATTGATTAGTTTAAACTAATTATGGATATATTGACAAAATTATTGGGGCTTTCTGAAATAATCCAAACTCTAAAAACTGTCTAATACCTTAACTGTTTCAAGCACCGATCTGGAATTTTTTTTCTGAAAGTTCAATTCATTTTTCATGACATTTATAGTCGGAATATTGCTTTCTTTCAGGCCTATGTTCCTCACTCCCTTTTGACTTAATTTCTTCTGTTTTTTTTTTTTATATTTATTGATTATTTCTAAAATTTATGTAAAGAAAAAAGGTTTGCAAAGCATATTGGTAAAGGCCTCGTTTGGTTGGTCGTAAGTTCTCCGTTTCTGATTTCAATCGGTGAAAAAAGTATTATTTTACTTTTTGTTTATGCGACTTTTTCAAAATAACTTTTGCTGCACCTCCGTAATTTCACCGATCTAAGAAGAACAAAAATTCTGCTTCTCTATTGTAATACCTCCGTTTAACAACGAAAGAAACGTTGGGAGCAACCAAACGAGGCCGAAGTTTCATGGCTTTGTTGTTACGAATGATATTTTCCATGAACTTTCTATTGCTGTAAATGTATCTGATGCTCCCAACTCCTATGCAGGCAAAACCTCATACATCGTGATAGATTTTCAGAAGAAAAGTGGAAGAAGATATATTATATATCAAATGGAAATGGCTCAGAGATGAGGTGGATGGCTCCGTTCATATAATTTTGTTATAGAGAAGACTAGCACAGTTGGACTGTTTCTTACATTTGGCATGATCACCATGACTTTGAGGATACTTAACTGTTGAAAAAGGAGAATTTTTGGGTCAGAGTATCCTAATCCAAATTTAGGGTTTAGGATGAATTTTATAATTATTGAATTTACTTCCAAATGAGTTTAAAATCTTGTATTGCATTTATCTCAATATTTGCTAGAAAATCATTTCTTAGAATATCCTGACCCAAATTTTCTGCTTGAAAAAAATGTGGCTTATTGATGGAGAAATTATTCTGTGCGGATGCCGAACGCAGTTCTACATTCGGAGATCAATCAGAATAAATCACGTCAGCAATACCGAGCGGTACCGAACCGCGGTACTGACCTGCTCATTCTAGTTGGTTTTCGGACGGTGTTCGGTGTCCGCACAAAATAATTTCTCCTATTTTGATGGGCTTGTATACTCCTGAACCAAAGTTCCAGCACGGGAGCCACGTATAGCGCTTTTTGAGGAGCTTGTGATTTTTTTTTTTGTGGAAAAAAGTTATTTGTTTTTAAAAATGTCAAAGAAATTATGTATTAAATATATACATTCAAATGCTAAAATTTTTAACAGTTCAAAATTTTTTATAAATTCTAAAAAAAATATTATTATTCTTTTTCATCAAATATAAATATTCTCATGGGGAGAGGAAAAAATCCATAGTTCCTAATTTCTCTTTGGCAAGCTCCGATCTTCTCTTAATAGTAGGCTACACTGCTCCTTTATATAGAGGTTTCATACTGTTAATAGATAGATAAGCCTCAATCAGTGCTTCTCTCATAAGATTATTGAATTGGCTTGCGGCAGGGCTTTGGTCTTCCAAATTTTGATGGATTGAAATCAAGGTGAAAGAAATTTTCATCTTATTATGAGATCCTGATCTTCTCCTTCAAAGGAATTAATCATTGTAACTCATGCAAGAGATAATGATTGATGTCGTGAAATATCCATTGTGCGATAATACGGAAAATATATTTTTTTTCTCCCAACTTAAACTTGAAAAAACATTTTTTTTTTCTTAAGGGTTTTGTATGTTTTAAGTAAAATATGCATAAATTATTTCATTTGCAAAGATTTTGAATATATTGATGTTTGGTTGGATGAAAAAAAGAATGCAGAAAGTATTCTAAATGCAATATAAAAATAGTTCATTTTTGAGGAAAAATATATTGCGAAAATATTTTTCATCTCAATCAAGCCATCTTGTTGCACTTGCCGCCGGCCACCGCCTCCCATTGCTGGCCACTCCACCACTAGCTACCATCACCTCACTACACCAACCACCTCCACCATTGATCAAAACCAACCACAAAAGTAATGCTTCTCTGATATTAGAAATATTAAATTTCAACCCATAAATAAAATCCATAACTTGCAGAAAGTTCGGTTTCAACAGGAAAGGATTAAGGCTTCGTTTGGGATAACTTTCCTGATGATATGAGAGCTGTAAGAGCATTCATAAAATAAGTGATGTGTAGTTTCTTTAGCCTCATAGCAAAGATGATAAGTAGGATTTACAACAATATTCCAACTAATTAAAGCATCTGTTATTTTTAATCCACTAACCAAAGCCATCCAGGAGAACATATAATATCTCATAGCATACTTTTTTATGCCAAATTAAACCTTAAAGATATATATGAAATTTCGTTTGATTTCTTTAATCTAACTCACAGAAGGCTGAAATTCGGCAGAAAATGTTAAAATTAGAGAGAGAATCAGTAATAGTATTCGACCAATTATAAGGAAAATCCCATCTGCTTAAATCAATTTATAGCAGTGATTTACAAAATGTCGCTATGAATTACTGTGGAAACATTAAATTTTTTATAGTGGTATTTCTAAATTTGTAAATTAATTGGCACTACCTTGAAGTTAATTTTATGAAGACCAACAAATATATCTTATAATTGTCCACATTTGTGTTCAGGTATCCACTTTCTTTTCCTCCATAATGAAATCCCCATTAATTTGTATGATAACCCACTCTCATACATTAAAGTTCCCTTGCTATTAGAAGCCTATTGTAAGTGTTGCGTCCTGGAAAATTTGCGGCGGTAGAGAGATATGGAGTTTAGTGTCATAGCTTTATACAAAGATCCAATACACAAATAGATAAACAGAAGGGGGTGCGAGAGTCATAAGAGACACCAAGATATTTACATGAAAACTCCTAAGTCGATGGGCAATGGATGTTGAAGGGACCATAGTTGGCGGGCGACAGAGGTCGGAGGGACTTGAGTTGGCCGGCGAAGAAGGTTGGAAGGACCTTAGTTGGAGAGCGACGGTGGTCGGAGGAACTATAGTTGGCGGGCGACGGAGGTCGAAGGGAACATTGTCCTTGGTCAACGGTGGTCGGAGGGATAATAGTCGATAGGCAACGGTCATCGAAAGGAACATAGTTGACAGGCGACAGTGTTCGGTGGTCTGATGATGGTCGAGCGAAAGTCCGATGGCTATTGGCAGTCGAGTGGAAGTCCGTCTATGATTGGAAGATAGAAGTTAGTCTAGAGACAGTCGGAGGCCAGGCGGGGATTTGATGTCGCTAGGGCGGTAATCTGGTAGCGACAGTCCGACGACGGTAGACAGTTCTTGAAGCCTCAGAGCTCTAACCAATCTATAGCCAAAGGCCCCCCTTCATGTAGAGAGTGAGGGTTTATTTATATATTTTAGAGAGTGACATGCCCTGCATATATGGAGAAGATTTGAGGTAGATTTAGAGTACTCCATCGGATGGCCCATATTGATCCCCAATCATAGAGCATTTTTTAAGTGTTTAAGTATCTTAATGATGTTAGAATTTAGCGATCTTGGGCTGATTGGATTCATCTCACCAAGCCACTCGATTCGACTATTAGCATGTCATCTTTGGATATCATTTGATTATCCAATTTAGGCTTTGAACAACTAAATAAGCTTCGGGCCTTTGATTTTGACCCATTTAGGTTCAGATTGGACTGATTTTGATGTAGTTGAATTTATTTCTTCGAGACGTCCAGTTTGACTATAAGTTTGTTGAAATTGGAGTTCATATGTTCCCGAATTTATTTTTGGAAGCTTCTGACTTGAATATGCCTCGAGATTCGTGCTCATCAAGTCTATTTTTGGTGACGTATGATCAGTACGTAATTTATGAAACTCCATTTCCTACTCATTTATATAGTGACCTTCAACTCCAATATAGCTAACAACTAAAGTATTAATAATTTTAGAGGTTAAAAGTAGATCATACACTAAAATGCATGCGGTTGCTTTCCGTCTCAACAATTCCACTCCTTAACTTTAAACCCACTACACTTAGCTCTCCCACACCACCAAATCTAAGCTCTATGACATCAAAATATGGAGCAATTATTCTGTGAGGATACTGGACGGGAGAATCGTCCAGTTCAGCGCTCGGTATCGAGCAATACCGAGCGGTACCAAGTGCTCGGTATCAAGTGCGGTAATTTTCTGGGGCGATGTGGTGCATTTTTATTGGTCTCCGGATGAATCCGGACCCGCACGTAATAATTTTTCCATGAGCCTTTTCATAGCTATTCATGCTCCCTCTTCTCCTTTTAAACCCCCTCTCAATCCATCCCAAATCCTC